CATTATGAAGCGTAAAATATGACAACGGAGACCCCGGACTGTTGAACAACTTAAGCTGTACATCAAGCAAGAATGGGAAAGAGTTCCACCTGAAAAGCTTCAAAAATTGGTCTCCTCAGTTCCCAAACGTTTACTGAGTGTCGTTAAAAGGAAAGGCGATGTAACACAGTGGTAAAAAGGCCCCTGTGCCAACTTTTTTGCAATGTGTTGAACATTAAACATCTTGTCTTTGCAGTGTATTCAATTGAATATAAGTTGAAAAGGATTTGCAAATCATTGTATTCTGTTTTTATCTACGATTTACATAACGTGCCAACTTCACTGGTTTTGGGTTTTGTATGATACACAATGTCTGACCTAATACAGACTTAAGTAAGTCAAACGATATTTGTCTACTTTCTATCACAGGGTTACAAAATGAGTCAAGCTCTTCTGTGTGAAAGTCCACATTACTGATAGAAATCTTTAAACATACTACTGAACCTTATATTTTCTTTTTACTTTATATGTTCATTTACCTGTTTGCATAATTTAGATGAAGGTAACACGCTCTAATGACCATGTCCCTACAAAAAACAACTCACCCTTTGTTCTTAACTACAATGCTTAAATCAGAAAAAGATGATTTGCCTAAAAAAACAGTCTTAAAGTTGGTTTAAAATTATCTTTAAAAGGTCTTAAAAGGCATAAAATTTAAGTGCCTGATACCTGCAGACACTACGGAGATTTAAAAGAATTTGCTGATGTGAACTCTAGCAGGAGACTGTTACATAATCAAGGAACCTGATATTCACGTAATATCCTAAAACAAGCGAGAAACTCCTAAAAATAAGGGCTGGTTTTTGGTGTCACGACCTGGCTCTAAAGCCATGACAAAAAAGAGGAAGATGCAGTCTGAAGGAAAGCTAATGAATCATTTATTTACAAAAAAAAATAATTTTAAATGCAGGAATTACAAAAATAAACTAAGGTAATGATGAGATGCGTTAATCAGTAGAATCAGTGGTGAAGGCGTGTGTCTGCATGAGTGCTACGTGTAATTTGGGGTGTTGGAAGTGTGAAAGTAACAAGGGGAAGAGAGCGTCTCAGCCAGAGTGATGGGGTATTTATAGCCTGAGCATAGCCAGGTGCTCTCAACAAGGTTAATCACTCACATTGGTAATTCGCAAATCATTTAAGTCGCCCAGTAAGACCTCCTCACAATCAGTAATGCACTCCAGGTAATATGCCTTGTTGCACAGGTGTTTTGTAAATTAGAATGATCATGAACTTTTAATTTATACTGAAATGGCAAAGGATTCAGTCGGCTCACCAACAAATCAAAACAGTCCAATAACACTGGAGATGATAGTTTGCTACGTGGACACAGATAAATACAGTTTGCAGCACTGATGATCTCAATTCTTCAGACCCAGATTTGTTTGACAGTTGATTAAGTGCACATTAAATTCTTGCCAACTGCAATAATTACGTTAATAAAGGTGATTTAATATGATGCCAGATACAATGTACTTAACAAGAGTGGTGTTTGTCTGCCACTCAAGCACAGGAGTTATTCCGGTTTTGACTTCATCCTCCTGGTGCAATACACAACCTGTGTGATGACAGGAGGGCTCTTCTACTAACAATACTCAAATGATCTTTAATATAGCCTACAGTTTGTGTACACAGGCTTAAGATAATGATGACTCTTAAGTGCCAATGGTGTGATTGTGAATGGTTAAGTAAAGCCTGCAGGGTTGGACAACCTGCCTCTCATAAACACATTTTACCAAGCCCATGTAGAGGATAGATTTTAAAGCCGAGCCTCACATCCATACAAAGCAGCAGAACAGAAGGCAGCTTCAAACCCTTGCCTTTTCGCACTAAATGGGGCCTTAAAATTCGAGTTATCAGTCTATTTTAAATGTTTGCTTATTCTCAATATGTAGTGAAAAATAGGTCAGGGCACTTTCATCAAGAGTGAACATAACACCAAGATAGGTGTATCTATCTGCAGGGTAAACGTGTGTGTGAGTGTGTGTTAATTTTTCTTAAGTGTGGGTGTCTGCAAAGACCTCTGCCCTTTAACATAAACCCACATCCCAACACACTCACACACACAGGGGTTTGTACCTTGCTTGTTAGCCTGCTGGAGTGGAACACATTGATTTTGAGAGGAGAGTGGAATGGACAGATGATGAGGTGGAAGAGATGTCAGAAAGTGAACCTGTCAGGCACGGTAAGCTGTCTGGAAGAAAGCACAGTGGAAATCTTAATCAAACAGTCTCCTGTCACATGCTATTCATATATTGCTTCGGACAGACCGAGCAGGGGGGAAATCAATCACAACACACAATGGGGTTGTTCACTTTCCGAACTTCAGCAGTTTGTTTTCCTGCCTCAGTGACTTATTGAGTGCAGCAGCAGCAGCCGCAATATCATTGTTGTCAAGTCTTGGAGATGGGTGCAGTGGGAAAACATGCCTAATTAAAGCCGTATGCTAAATCTTGGGGTCACTGGTTTTCACCATTTAAGCTTAGATATCACTGACTTTATGCTAATGTCCTAATATCTGTATAAGCTAGGATTAGTGTCTATGTACTACAGCTGCTTCACATTAAAAGCACTCCAGTGCCACACCACTTAAATAACACTTTCCATTGCACTAAATTTTGCCGTTTTGGATTTTTATGCAAATGTCCAATATTATGGTTTCTATTTTACATGACAGCACTTTGAAAACATATCACTATAAAACAGAACATTTAATTCCTCTATGCATATGATAAAACAGACTCAGTGTGAGTCGATGGATGTGGGCTGCTGGAATAAGCCTCATTTTTTTCTTACCTGCCAAATTCAATAAAGACAAAGACATGGCAGTAAGCCATGTACATAATGTTACTTAAAAAGGTGGCTGGCCTTCTGTTCTACAGCAACATAGTGTATGCTAGCGTGGATCTCTACTATCATTTGTCTACTTAGGACAGAAGCGTAATGTTGATGTTATAGGTGAAATTTTTACAAGCTGGATGACCTCCAAAAACATACCGTGTGCCTTAAAGGACAAAACAAGATTTGGAGTCTATTTGGTGGTCTGACTCAAAGCTGGTGACGCTCTGTGACGCTGTGTTCAGGCACAGTGCTGCCCTGAGCTAAATGCTAATGTCGGTATGCTAACATACCCACATTGACAATGTGGTTTAGCAGGTAGGCTAATGTTTACTGTGTTCATCGTCGTAGTTTAATGTTTTTTAATGGTTTTTTTTTTTTTTTTGCTTCCGGCTTTCTTACAGTGCAGACGCTCTGCTGCTTGAGCTCCGCTTTGCTTACATTCTTTTGTGGATATACTTGTTTTTTCCTGCTAAAAGCTACAGAAAGTAGATCCTGGATACTTATAAAGCATTGGGACTTTAATTTTTTAAAGATACAGAGGACTACTGCCATATTTTCACCACTTTTTCACCACTTTAGTACTGTTTGAGCAGGGCTGAGGCACAGTGCAAGCCTTTTGCTGTGTCTGTGACTGGAAACCTGTGATTAGGACAAGGACAAAATGGCAAAATCTGTGAGCTGCACAGAGTGTGAGTGACTAACCGAGATGATAATGCAGCTTCAAAAGAAGAATGAAACACTACAACAAATTCGTGAGAGTGAGCAATTCATTGACTCT